AAATAAACCAGACTCTCACTGTCTGCAGCAGGGGCGATTCTAGGATCAGAGCTTTGGGGGTGCTGACACCCAGAGAGCTGCCCAGCCAGGTAAGATAAACTTACTCATCACGATGAGATGTCTTCCCCGTCTCTGTCAGTCCCTGCATCCTTAAATGTCTCCAGTTGTCCCAAGTTGTCTCTGAATGTCTCCTTGGTGCATTTAAACCCCTGTTCCTCCCTGTCCTTGTCGTCTGTTATCTTCGTCTCTGCTATCAGTCATCATAATTTTACCATCTCTGTGCAAGTCTGCAAATTTCTTTATTAAATCATAAGATTCTTAAATTCATCAAGTCTCTGTGCCTGGGTCCTCGTCACAAAACATGACATCACTGTTTGTACATTTTAACACAATTTAATCCACATTTGTGAAAGAAAAGAAAAACACTTTTTTGAAAAGTCTGTAACAAACCATCAAATCTGATAAAGGTTATTTAAATGCTGCAAAAGAAGAATGGATTGGAATAGAAAAATACACATCCTGACCTTAATTACTGGGGGAGAATAATGAACGATGCTCACAGTGAGTAAGAAGTAAACTGAGTGCATTTTTGGATACATACAAAAACACTCCCAAAACAGCATAAATTATTACAAATAAATGATTACAAAATATTAATTTAAAAAAACTATAAAAATGGAGGCAACTTAGCCTGTGGTAGAATGTCTACAATGTATGAAAAAATCGTTACTGCAGATGCTAATTTTACTAATTTAATAATACTAATTTTGTGTTGCAAGATTTATGAGTTTCATGCTTTCATAGTGTGCTTGGGAGAGCTTGACATTGTTATCAGGTGGCCCACACTGTAAAAAGTGTGAGAAACACTGATAAGTGTCTGTGTGCTTTTGGAAAACATTTAAAGCTGCTGTACAGAATCTTTGAAACAAGCTTAAAACATTTTTAGAAACAGAGCATCTGCTTCTCTTTACAGCTGCTCACTCCACCAGGGCTGTTTGGCTCTTTCTGATAGTGAGCACATGTGATGCACGTACTGCGGCAGTCATACAGACAACTGGACGGTCCAAAGGTTGGCCCCCTATTACTGGCTGAGGTTTCAGTAGAGTTGTGGCTGAACCACATAAAAATATATCATTAATTTTAATCTCCCCAATCAGTGATAATGTTATGTTGGAATGTTGTTAAAGAGGGTCAAAATACTTCAACCCAGTTTGTTTAGCAGATTCTGTACAGCAGCTTTAATATAGGGAGGACACAACTTCCAGACTGTGAGTAAAATCAGGTTTTTTCTCTTTGTCAGTTTAACAGTTTCTGTTGTGCCTGTCACTGCTCCCTGTCTGTTTGCTTACCTGGTTCTTCCTGACCTTGTACTTTCTCCTCATGTTCTCCTCTTTCCTCTCTCCCTCTTTGGACTGACAATCATACACAAATAGATTGTATTCAATTAGATGAAAAATTACATTAATATGAAAAAATTCTATTAAGATCACTAACAAAAAGTCCTCTCTCAGTGTACTTTCAACCAAAAGGCAAATAACCAAACCACACGAACATCTAATAAAAGATATAAACATTGAAACATTGATCCAACATTATTCCTGATTCACGGATCATTTGATTTTACACTTTTACCTGAATGTGGCTCCTTTTTGAAAAAACTTCTTTATATCCATTATGAACCTGTCTCTCTGTACACACACACACACACACACACACACACACACACACACACACACACCACACACACACACTCAACACTGCAGGTTACCTGGTGTAATGTTTTTCAGCTAAAAGAAACATGGTCTGATAACTACCTAACTATATAAAGAGTAACTGAATGTTAAATGCAGCTAATATGTCCTGTTTTAAGCCAGACACTCACACCTCCGCTGCGCTGCATCTCAGCCACTCGAGCGCTAGAATCACAGTAGGGGAGAGGCGAGCTGGAAGAAACCATTTTGGATTTCTATACTTTTGTTGTTAAAATGTTACGTCCCTCACACCAAAAAGCAATCGGGGCGATCGTGGCTCAAGAGTTGGGAGTTCGCCTTGTAATCGGAAGGTTGCCGGTTCGAGCCCCGGCTTGGACAGTCTCGGTCGTTGTGTCCTTGGGCAAGACACCTCACCCGTTGCCTACTGGTGGTGGTCAGAGGGCCCGGTGGCGCCAGTGTCCGGCAGCCTCGCCTCTGTCAGTGCGCCCCAGGGTGGCTGTGGCTACAATGTAGCTGCCATCACCAGTGTGTGAATGTGTGCGTGAATGACTGGATATGTAAAGCGCTTTGGGGTCCTTAGGGACTAGTAACGCGCTATATAAATACAGGCATTTACCATTTATAAATATAAAAATGAAATCTCCAAGAATATCACAAAAATAGCATTGAGGGGTGTTACAGTGAAAAAAAAAAGCAACCAAATTTTAATCTGAAGATGCTGAATTTTAGTAAAAACAATGCTCTGTAGGTTGATGCCGTCGTTACAGACAAAGCACATGTTTAAAGCCTTTGGATGTTATAATCTATCCAAAGGTTCTTTGCAATTTTACATTGATAAACATTATCCTTAACATATTTGGCCCACATAAAGTACCATGGCCATCACACTGTCATTTATAATTGTTTAAATAACTCGTGTCTTAATCCTTCCATCACACAGAAAATTAAAAAAAAACATGGTTCACTTTTACATCACAAAATGTTAGAAATATAAGCCGTTCATAACAACCTGAAAGGCTGGGAGTTTAAAATGCAAACCATTCGAAGCAGAAGTAGAAGACATTTCCGAAAGAATGCAAAAGCATTGACATATATCTTTCCTTCCTATTATAGCCCGACGGGCAGGGCAGAGATAGATTTTGGTAGCCCGACTGGAAAAATCGCTAGCCCCGGGACGTCGGGCTAGCGATTTTGCGAGCCCTGCATCTTTTCCTTCCCTTCGCCTCTCTATTAATGTGCTTGGAGACAGAGCTCTGTGAATAGCCAGCCTCTTTTGCAACGACCTTTTGTGTCTTGCCATCCTTGTGCAAGGTGTCAATGGTCGTCTTTTGGACAACTATCTTCCCCATGATTGTGTAGCCTACAGAACTAGACTGAGATACAATCTAAAGGCTTCTGCAAGTGTTTTGAGTTAATAAGCTGATTCAATATTGAACCTTTTCAGTCATTCAATAATTTAATTCATAAAGGCACTAGAGAAAATGTATTGATATTCACCTTACAGTTTTACGGGTCAGGGTCACACATAACACAAAGCATTATGCAGGAAGTAATAAATGTTTTCACGCAGCAACAGTTGTTGTACAACCGTTTTTAGTTTTCTAATAAAGTTTTATTATTATGTTATCCATCCATTCACTTCTGCTTATCCCTTTCAGGGTCGCGGGGGGCGCTGGAGCCTATCCCAGCTGTCATAGGGCGAGAGGCGGGGTACACCCTGGACAGGTCGCCAGTCTATCGCAGAGCCAACACACAGGGACAGACAACCATTCGCACCTAATGGCAATTTGGATTATCCAATTAACCTATCCCACAAGCTGCATGTCTTTGGACGGTGGGAGGAAGCTGGAGTACCCGGAGGGAACCCACGCAAACACGGGGAGAACATGCAAACTCCACACAGAAAGACCTAATGGTAGAATTGAACTCAGGACCTTCTTGCTGTGCGGCAACAGTGCTAACCACTGTGCCATTATTATTTTACACATTGATCATCTAACTATGATGCACAATTCTATAATTCATAATCTTAGTTATACATTTGCAGTATTTAACTTAATTTTTTGCACACCTCAAGGTCTTCTCAACCTTCAGACACTTGTCAGAGATCCCAAATAGGGATGAGAAATAGGGAGAGAACTGGAAAGTACCAAATTTTCTGAATCTGGCAGGGCGAGAAGGTCACCATTTGGGCAACTCGGTATGCTTCTCAGAAAATTGGACAGCCTTAACATATTTTGTCTATGCTTTTGAGTTTAGTGAAAATGTATTTCGAGGAACTATTTTTCTGCAAATTTGAAGTTGCATGTCCAATGTTCATTTAGTTTGGTTTTGACTGAAGTAGCAATAGTCTACAGCTTCAGTTTTTGCTTTTCTCCAGAGGTTCTACAGTTGGGTCAAAGTTTATTGCAGTTCTACGAAAAAGTGCCCACAGGGTGTAGACAAATAAAGCATTATATTTACCACATAACCTGGTCATGTGCAGGTTACGGTGCAAGTTTTGATTTTCCGATGCTGACGGTGGATCAAGGAGACCAGCGCACAGGCTGCAGGCCCGGATGTCCTGTCTACATTGGCTGTCTCTCACCCTTTACCCCCCTGTTGCTTGTCATGTGCTTCTTTGGTGTATTAAGAGTTTTTTCATGTGCAGAGGTGTTTTTCTCTGTTCTCAAACTGATCTCCCTGTTGGAGCTCAGTCTGGGGGGAGTTATTTTTTTCTCCTTATCTTTCCTCATGTGGTGCATTTTCCATTGTTGTACCTCTCTGACCTGTCTTCCCCTTGTGATGTTTTTGTGTAACGTATGTATGGTCGGAGGGTAAGATGGCACCGCGTGCAATAGGTCGGCAGCCTTAACATGAAATTTCTCACTCGTGGGACTAATAAAGGTATCTTATCTTAAAATGGGCTGGAACCGCTTCCTTTGCACCTGTCGTTTTTATTTTTTCTCCTTCTGGACTTGACAACTGGCCTGCAGAGTATGACCTCAAATTACATTACAGCAAAGCGCAGACATGGAAACATGCTTTGGGGCTGTTTTCCTGTCTATCGCTATGTCCATGTCTATGGATTTTACATCTGTATTCTCTGCGATTATGCAAAGAATCTGCTATATTTTTCAGATATCCCCTCTCACTATTAAAATAAAACTACAATAAAAATAAGAGACTTTTCAGTTCTTTGTACGTGAGCAAACTAACAAATTCAGCAACAGATCAAGTACTTATTTCCCCAACCACAGGTGAGCAATACATGATGAAATAACAATCACGCAAATAACAGCGCCCATGTTTTTCTAGCAGAACATTGTACCAACTTTTATTCATTTCACCTGTCAGCGGTTTGAAACCTTCTGATGGGTTTAGGACTCACACAGGCACTGGGGAACATCACTTAAACAGAGTGAGCATAATACTGCATTTAAAATCCCGTGAAACAGACATTCAAACAATTGTGAATCTATTAGCACTTCTTGTAATAAGGCTTTTTTTTTTTTTAATATGCAGCTATTTTAAGTGGTGCATAGAATTTTCTGAGTAAGAAAAAAAGCTTATAAATGAATAGATAAAAAAATTCAACAAACTATTTACAAAGTTTCAAGTATGAACAGTATTCAGAGAAAATACAGTAAACAGCTGCATGTTGGGTTTTCATACAGGCACTTCTGTTTCCAAAGAAAACAAAGAATAATGTTTGTATACTGCTCAGAAAATACGGGAACAAGTCAGTGTTTGCTTAGAATTAGAATGGACCCATCAAAACGTTGATGACTTTAGTTTCCATCCCATTTCCAACTTTCATTTTCAAGATTGTCTGGTGTGCAACTTCAGTGTTCCTGTATTTTTTGAGTGTATATAATATAGCAAGTACAACACATAAAATGCTGAACTTCTTATAGTTTTATATGTAACGTCACTTGTTTTACACAAGTGCTTTATTAAATCAAACACAGAACCAGTCATAACAAAAACAACAGAATGCCTCTTTGGCAGAGCGTTTTTCCCTTCAGTGGTGAGGTCTTGGAGAGCTGAACCTTTTCCTTGGTCTGCACACAGTGAAACACAGGACACACCTCAGAAAACCTGGTCATACTGTACACTGCATTGCTTTGACTTTGAAAACAAAACAGCAAGTTATCAATGACTCTTTACTCAAGCTCTGTTGTGAAGCCTCAAGCTAAGCATATTCACGTGTTATCTTAGCTATTTAAAACCAGACATAACAAGCCCAGACCACAATTTTCACATTATCTTTGACATGGCCTCATTCAACCTGTAAACTGACCAATACTAGTGATTTTACACGGACGTTAAATTGGTTAAATAAACCTTTTGGACTTGAGCATGAGTTAAAAAAGCAGATTCAAATTCAGCAGCAGATCAAATACTCAGAGTCCGGAGCCAAGGCAGTTTTCCCACATGTCTAAACAACTACAAGTTAGGGCTGCTCGATATAACGATATATATCGGATGACGATATAAAAACGTCTGTCGTTTCATTTTACGCTGTCGATTGTTTCGTGGTGTCGCAAAATAAACTGTTTACAGCGATATTTTTTCATTATCATTATTATGGTCACTGTAGCGGCTATATTCATTTCTTCTTTCTCTTATATTTAATATAAGTATTTAGTATTTATTTATTTATTGTCATTGTCAAGAACAATGAAATTGCGTTTGGGGCTTCCATACAACCCAAAAAAAAGAAGAAAATAATAAATACCCCTTAAAACCCAAGTGTACATATTTAACCCAGTGTGACTCCAATGCAATAAGACAATCCTTAGCAATAATGTTCGTAGAAATTCAGACAAAGACCTGAGAAACATGACAAAATACAACAATGCAACCCATTCAATATTATTGTACTGTGAGATATGATATCAGATATGATAGTTATCTATTTAAGAAAGAGGGGGAGGGGGCAGGAGGGGGAAGAGAATAAAGATATGATGCACCAATGCAGACCAGTTCATTGCTATTAAGAAGTTGGATATGGTTATTGTCCGTGAGAGGGGGGCAGAGAGTTCAGGAGCCTCACAGCCTGTGGATACAGGCTGTTGGCCAGTCTGGATGTTCTGGCCTGTATAGACCTGTACCTTCTCCCTGAGGGCAGCAGATGGAAAAGGTGGCGCGCAGGGTGATGTTGGTCCCGCAGGATACTGTGCACCCTCCTCAGACAGCGAGTGGGGAAGATATTACTGATCTCTGGCAGACTTGTTCCAATAATTCTGCCAGCTTCTTTCACCACCCGCTGGAGTGCTTGCTGATCGGCCTTGGTGCAGCTGGGGAACCACACTAGAAATCCATACGTCAGAACGCTGCTGATGGCACAGTTGTAGAAGTTCAACATCAGAGATCTGGGAATGTGTGCGCTCCGCAGTCTCCTCAGGTAGTAGAGGCGCTGTTGGGCCTTCCGTACAACTGAGGTGATATGGTTGCCCCAGGACAGGTCCTCGGTCACAGTTACCCCCAAGAATTTAAAACTGCTCACCCTCTCCACCGCCTCACTGCCAATGAAGAGAGGCAGATGGTTGTTATGGCCCCTCTTCCGGAAATCTACAATGATCTCCTTGGTCTTTTTGGTGTTTAAGACCAAGTTATTGTCGTGGCACCATGACTCTAGTTGTTGCACCTCTGTCCTATAGTTTGTCTCATCATTGTTGGATATAAGTCCGAGCACTGTAGTGTCATCTGCAAACTTAACAATGAGATTGGACGCGCAGGAGGAAATACAGTCATGGGTGAAGAGAGTGTATAGCAGAGGGCTCAGAACACACCCCTGAGGGGCACCGGTGTTGACCACAAGGGTGGAAGAGGTGTTCTTACCCACTCTGACACTCTGTCTACGGTTAGTGAGGAAGTCCACAATCCAGTTGCACAGAGAGGAGTTAAGTCCCAGTTGGTGGAGTTTGGGACGGAGTTTGTATGGCCGGATGGTATTAAAAGCCGAGCTGTAGTCTACAAAGAGGAGCCGTGCATAGGTGTTCCTGTGTTCCAAGTGCTTCAGTAATGTGTGCAGCACTGTGGCGATCGCATCCTCGGTTGACCGGTTCTCCCTGTATGCAAACTGGTGCGAGTCCAGGGATGGTGGAAAAGCAGCTCTGATGTGTTTAATGACCAGTCTCTGGTCATTAAACACATCAGAGGACGGACAAGCGCCTGTTTTTATGCGTTGTCGTTAGCAACAACAACGGTAAAACCACCGCGTGTCCGCTTGTTCCACATAAACCTTTCACAATAAAGCTCAAGATCCTGTTGAGACTTTTCAAAATAAACTGAATCACGTGAAAGAGCAGATTGTTTATGGATGAGAAGTAAAAAAGAGCCGCCAGGTGCTAAAAAATAAACCTTAGACTCAAACGTCAGAACAGGCTTCTCCCCGCAGCACGCCGTGTAATAAATACTCACAAAGAAAACTGCGGCCGTTACAACTTATGTCTAAAAATGTATCGTTTCATGCATCGGCTAAAACACTGGACTCCAGGTACACGACGCGCAGCTGGAAACACTTCACGCAAGTCGAGCTGCCCGAGATTCACAGAATTTACAGAAAATGTTACATTTTTGTGATTTATATCGTTATCGGACGATAGATGTCTTAATATCGGGATATTAAGACATCTATATATATGAGATTTTGGTCATATCGCACAGCCCTACACAAGTTACTTCTCTCTGCTGGCCAAAGGAAAGTTAGAGGGATCTCCGTATTGGTTTTACTGCTCATACCCGGAGGCTTGACCAATCTTTTATATGCAGTCAATATTAAATGTTGAGTATCACCTTTTGTCGGCCATGACGCTCGTTTCATTCTTCCACTTGTAGCCTTGGCTCAGAGGAAATCCTACATTTAGAAACATGCAGTCAAGATCAAACACATTTAAAATAACAATTTGGAACTTGACTATTATTAATATATGAATCAAATCAATTAAAACATTTTAGAGACTTCAAAAGTACACACTTCGCACTAATGGAGCGTCCTGATGTCTGGCCTTCGTTATCTGTATGGCTTCATCCTTGGGCCTCTTCATCAGAGGAGGTACAGACTCATAGGAGCTGTGTCTCCGTTTGTGTGGCTTGTCACATTGACTTGGTCCAGCTCTGGCTTCTCTTAGCGACTCGTAATTGTGCCTTGGTCTCAGGTTACTCTCCAGACTACTCTTTCGGTCTCTCCTGGTTGGGACAAAGCTCTTTCGCCAGTCACTGAACACTTGTTCCTTTGCTGATGACTGCATGGATGTGGAAGATGACGGGCCCTTTGTATGAGTGCGAGACTGATGTAATGTTGAAGAGTTTCTGTCAGAGTGAGATCGCTGTAGTTTGGATGAGGACGAGCAGTGCCTGGAACTAGATGAGCTATCCGCAGACCTAGACAACGGTTCTGTATGGTGTGCATCACTTATAGGCTTTGGGTTGGATACAAGCTTTCCTTTAGCCCCTTGTTGTTTCTTCTTTTTAGAGTCGGTCTTGCTGGTTTCTGTGGGGGTCTCTGGAGTTGGCTGGGATTCAATTTTGCCTCGCCTTTGGACTGTAGACTGTTTTAGAAGTTTAAGGGAATCACTAGATGAAGAAGACTTCTGAACAACAAAGCGAGGAATCACGGGAGTCATAGTGGAGTCATCCTCGCTATCAGAACAGGATGGACTAGTTTGTGCATAAATTAAGGTATCATCGCTGTCCTCAGTTTGAGATGAGAGAACTCTAGTCTTTCTCTTCTGCTTCTTCAAGGCTTGTTTAACCTTCCTGTCCATTGTTTTTGATGTCATATGTTCACTGGCCTTTTGTTCAACATGCTGATGGCAAATGGAGCCCATTCCCTTGTCCGCAGACTGGGGGTTCTTGTGTTGGTAGTTCATGAACGGTGGACTGGTTTGTATATAAATCAAGGTATCATCGCTGTCCTCCGTTTCTGACGAGAGAACTCTAGTCTCTCTTTCCTTGTTGTTAAGGTGTTTTTCTACTTCTCTTTGCACCATTTCTGAGGTTTGCCTTTGTGCCTTTTGTTGAACGTGGTGATAGTGAGCTTTAGTGATGTCTACCTCCGTGTCCACAGACTGCTTCTCACAGCGGTTCTTTGATGATAAATTGATTTGGGTGTTTTGGCTGACATGAAGACTATTTTGTGCATCATCACGATGTTGTTCCATGATTTTTGAAGTAGTCTGTCTGTTGTCGTTTTGTTGAACACGCTCAGGACGCACTTTAACTTTAATCAGTTTTCTCTTCTTTATACTATCTGATTGGCTAAAGGTTACATCCTGTTTCTTTTCTTTTATCTGTGTTTGCTGAGGTTTGGAATGATGCTGTGACTTTGGTGAATCTGCACAAGGCATACTCGGCTTTCTGCTGTTTGCTTTAGGACTTCCCTTCTTTTCAATATCCCTCACTTGTTCTCCACATGAAGTACTGCCTCCACTCATTGACTCAGAGAATGCACCTTTCCTCTTTACCCGTCTGCTGCTTTGTTTTTCTTCATCATCACTGTCAAATATTACTATAACAGCAGGATCATCTGAAATGCTTCGTGCTTTTCTACCATGGTGAGATCCAGTATTATTACACTTTTCTGTCCTTTGTGAAAGGTCAGGGTTCCCACTCTGGATCACTTCATTACAACATCTGGATAAATCTATAGATGTACGTCCATTGGTTTGACAGTTTCCTTCCACAGTTTCAGGAGAAGGTTTCTTCAGTTGATTAAGGCTGGCAGCTCCACTGTTCTCTGTGCGCGTAGAGAATAATCTCTTTGTTTTTGTCTCTGGACAGCTTTGGACACCTTCATCCTCGGTGTCAGAATCAAGGTTGATGATGTCATCCTTTTCTGAAGACTTGCTTCTGTTCCCCGTTTGACTTGGTTGTAAGTTTGCCATCTCATGGTCTTCATTTTCTTTTACAGAACCAGAGTCATTTTTCTCTGCTGACGCAGGCGCTGACAGGTTACTTAACCACTGTTTGGACACGGTCAGATAGTTACGTCCTGAATCAGCAGAGTAATCGGAACTATCGTCAGTTTCACAACTGTCATCAGGAGCACTATGTGACTCCCTATTTTGTGGTCTCTGAGCTTTAGTCTCAGTTGTGCCCCAGGAAGAAGGCACCATGAAGGACTGTTGCATTGTCTCTCTAGATTGTATGACTTTTGCTAGATGAGAAGGTGTTTCAAAAACCTCCATCATGGAAAAAGCAGAAGCTGGCACATGGTTTGGAACAGATCCGGGTACCTCACAGACAGCTGGATTTGTGTCACTTTGTTTTACCTGGTCTTCATGCTCACCATCATGCTGTGAAACAGTTTCTGGGTCAGCCTGGCCTTCATCTGCTGGTTCCCATTTAACATCTAATACGCTAATAGGCATAACAAGCCAATCATCGTCCTCATCAGTCTCCTCTTGATCTTGCGCGTCAGAAAGGGGGCTCAAAGAGCAGCTTGCTTGCCAATCTAAATGTTTCTCACCGTCACATTTAGGACATAAGAAACATTCAAACCCATCCTCAGTTTCAACAAAACATGGACAAGAGCAATCTTGTGCTATGCCAAGTGTTTGGTTCTTTGGAAGCTCGGCCTGACTCTGCACATGTCCAAACTGCGTATTACTGGCTTCAGACACGTCACATGAAGGTGAAGGCATCTCCTCGTCATTATTATCAACTTCTGGATTCTCATCTTCACTTATATCTTCATATGAAGGGTCCTCAAACCTTACTTCCTCTTGGTTTGTGTTTAAAAGATGCATGTCTGGCTTTGATGAACCCTGTTCATATTCTGGATCATTTCTAACTGCAGCAGAGAATGTATCTGCACCTTCAGGTCTAGATGGAGGTGTCTGTTCGTTTACATTTTGATCTTGATCTCCAGTGCCTTCGGTTTCTTTGACTCTCTCACGCTCTCCTTGTGAGGAACTGCAGCTGACCGTTAATCCTGGGTACTTCTCAGTCTCTTCTGGCACGGTGACTCCAGAAACTGCTGTCACAGTCACTGGATGCTCTGCTTCATTATTTATGCAAGTGGGAGCAACGTCCAAGACGACACGTTGATAATCTGTGGATGTAAAGAGATGAAAGTTACCCATGAAATGTCTTGATGCATGCTCAATCACCCAGATAAGTAAATCCCTAAAAGTTGATTCTGTCCATCGGGATGTAGCGTTTTCAGTGGGAGAAACGTTTCATCCAACTGACTTCTTCAGTCTGGGGAAACCTGCAGTCAGCTCAGACTGAAGAAGTCAGTTGGATGAAACGTTTCTCCCACTGAAAACGCTACGTCCAGATGGACAGAATCCACTTTTGGGGGTTTGCCATGAAACAAGGTCATGTTTTCATACTGGTAAAATTTACACTGGAATACTTCTCAACATTTTTATGAACATGTCTTGAGCTGTCAACAGCAGAGTTTGGTGTACCTGCTACATGTTTCTCTGATGCAGATATATCACATTTCTCTTGAGACGTGGGAGAGAACTCAGCTCCTTTGCTTTCCTTCACTTCATCTTCTTGTCCAGTTGCAGTAGTGCACTGCTCAGTAAGAACAGGGCTGAAACTTTGCCGCTTGGTAGAATATAGTAACGCAACCTCTTTCTCGATAAAGTCTAATATTTCATCATCTGTGATCCGTTTGGTTTTTTTAGCTTCCAAGACTTCACCTTCGGCTGGCTGATCCCTGAGAGAAGAAGGGGAGAGCTTCTGAGAAGGGGTGGAAACATTTCCTTCTGAATGATCTAGGATTTGTTCCTTCTGCTCACAAACTCGTGGGAGGAAACTTCCCACTTCCTGATTCTCAAAACATTTTTCCTCTGAAAAATCATCAACATTAGGTTCAATCTTGGAAGATTTGAAATGAGCAGATTCCTTTTTTGGAGAGATGCAAAATAATGGGGATGATGTGGAGGCGTTGTTCTCAGGTACAGAAGAAGACTGATCTTGTAAAGAAAACATTTGGGCTCTCTCTCTATGAAGTGGAGCAGCCCTTGCTTCAGCCCAGCATTGTATATTAGAAACTTTTAGGAAAAGTTAAAGTCTCAGTTAAAAATTCCACAAGCTGTCCACTTTTGTTAGAAGGCTGTCTTATGAAGTTCTCAAGAGAGGATATTCCTTTGTGTTAAACAAGGACATGTGCTGATGAACTCAAGCCAGTATTTCTTTTTGTTTGATTGTCACTGCTATACACACTAAATGCAAAATCCTTGGGTTTGGGGTGCTGTAATTCAGTGCACAATTGTGATTTTTGTAGACAGTGGATTCCATGGAATTTTGGTGGGATTGTGCACTGCTTTCTTGACAGCAAGTCACTTCTGATTTTTCAAGATGCAGAAAGGCTACCCTGATTTGAGTTCAAATTGTCAGGAGAACCAGGCTGTCCTGACACTTCCTTGACTGTTGGAACATTCAGAAAGTATTGCCTGAAGAGCAGTCTTTCAAACGATGACTTCAGTTAAGTAGTCCCCTTGTCTAGGAAACAAGACAAATAAATGAAAGTGAAAATTAAAAATCTGCATATATTTAACAATAGACCATTTTTAAAAAACATTTTTGATCTATGAAGCTGAAATTTTACAGCAATCATGATACATGTCTAAACTGTACAAAATTAAATCAGAAATGACTGAGCAGAAGGTCCACAACGTTCTGAGAAGGAACAAACATGATCCAGCTGTGTGTAGCACAGACTAGTGCTGGGCAATATGGCCTAAAATCCATATCGCGATATAATTTGAAGCACGTGCGGTAACGATATATATCACGATATATTCTTTTCTTCTGTATAACGTATTTTCCACACAAAATCCTTTAATTTTCTCAAAAATCGAGTGTGCCTTATGTATGAATTCTGGTTGTGCTTACTGACCTCGAACCGATTTTGGCGTGCAGAAATCTGTTAAAAATGTTTTGATGGATTGTCAGAGCATTACGGCTGCCGTAGTGAGGAGCTTCGCGGAGTAATCTGGGTCCAAAACTCCATCTTCTTCAGGTCCCAAAGTCAAACTAAAACTAAGAGTTAAAAACGGTCTAAATTCCTTCATCTTTAATTAAATCATCTGGTGTAACAATTAAGTTTAACATCCAGGCATCCATGAAAACAGAATTTATTAAATTTAACGGAGTTAGAAGTTAGCAGGAAGTTAGTTCGCTAGTTTCCACCTAAACATTTCATACCATGTTCTGACAGAGATTTTTGAAACTAATTCAAACGTACAGCTCTGCTACCACTTCCAACATAAATGAAGACGGAAAACTAAACAGCAGTGGCGTTTGCAGGGTTACTGAAGTTGGACTACCTGGTATATAATGTTGTGCTACATGATTGCTAGCGACACAGCGATGTTAGCATAACATTAGCACAGTGAAGCTGGAGGATGAACGCCAACTTTTTTTCCACTCGATAAAAGTTAACGTGACGGATTCTGGTGGTCAAGGACAAATGCAGTCGCATAGCAGGATGCTGTACACGGGCCAAACTTCAGTCAAGAGAACAACTGAGATCATTCATCCACAATACGAGGTTAGTTATTAATATACTGCAACAACATGGGAACAGAGTAGCTGCGAGAGAATTCAACATTAATGAATCAATGGTACAGAAGTGGAGGAAGCGCAGTTTTCAGCTTTCCCCATATTCCAGAAGTGCTTCATCTCTTTGCTGTGACTGTCGCCCGCCACAATTTGCAGATGATAATGGTTGTAGCCGCTGCGATGCTTTCGACCAAAACAGGCGCAGCTTGATGACATCATCAACATGCGCTATCGCGATAGAGCGGTATAGTCAAAATCTCTATCACCCACCCCTAGCACAGACAAACCCTTTAACCCTGCATTCATCGTGTTCAGTGTGTACATCTACGATACAGGAGGCAGAGCGCTTTGTGCAGAGCGGATAAACTTGGAATCCTGGGACGTTTTCCAGCGGCAGCGAGCAAAGCACAGCACAAGCACGCCAGCGAGGAGTCCTCATGCCTGCTGACATACCTTCACACAAGTTTTGAAACTAAAACTACAGTCACCCTAAGTTCAAGCATGCAACGAAAACATTCTGTGCAGTTCAATGAACGTTATGACAGAAGTTTCCCTCCAAGCCGTTGAGTAAGTCATTCCATTCAACAGCTCTGGGGACCTTGGAAGGAAAGCAGTGTTGTGGAAACAAAGCAATCTGGTACATAACCTCTTTTTCATTAGTACCTACTTGGATCATCTCGCCACAATTTGCCACAATATTTAGAGTCAGACTGCGTGCCCCCGATTGGCTGATCAGTGGCGTCATTCAATGAGTCATGAGAAAGTCTTACTTATGCAAATCAAAACTGCCAGTTTTGAAACCTGGCAATGAGGGAAAATGGCTACAAAAAAAGCAAAAAAACAAAACACAAAATAAGGACATGGTCCCCCGAGTCTGACAAACAGCCATAGATCGAGCACCGGGTATATCGTTGCCTCGACGTCCACCTTTGTTGTAGGGTTCATGTCACATACTAATTACGTCATTGGACACTTGGCCGCATTGCTATAACAACAAACATGCATTGTAATGGAAAACCAGTCGATCTGAGTTTAGTCATGGCGAGCTGATCTTAATAAGTACTAATGAAAAAAGTAGCTATAGACCGGGCACAAAAAAACGACGTACAAGCAGAGGGCAGCAGCCAGCGCAGAGCATGCCGTGTCTTATGTGAAAGGGCCTTCAGAATTCTCAGATGATGCTATAATTCCTCCCTGCCTAAGGATAGAAACTAAAACTTTATTAAAAAATATTATAAAGACACTGAGATACTTTACTAACGCTAAACCTCCCAGAAACTCTCTGGAACTATCTGTGGTGGTCATACTGACGAATTTCCTGCAACAACAGCAGTAATGGCAAGAGAAACTAATTTTGGACAAAGTTGTTAATTCTGATGTACTTTCAATTTTATAAAATAACGATAACCAAAATTTCACAAAAAGGTATTTAAGGTTCAGTTTTAAGGTTTTGTTAGCTTAAAAATGTTGATTATTCAGGGCTCGCAAAATTTCAAAATCCCTGGTAGCCCTTCGGGCAGGGACTCTTCAGTTTTTGGTAGCCCAAAATAAATTTAAGTAGCCCGAATAAAAAAAAGAGCAATTTTTTGATTGATGTTTTGTTTCCTGTTTTGTTTCCGTTACAATATTATACATTAATGTACAATATTGTAACGGAAACAAAATATTAATCAAAAAATTGTTGAAACACAAATTACAACATTGTATAAAAATTACAATCATCAACTCAAATACTTGGTTCTGATTGAACAGACATTTCTATGAACTTGTAAGAACTGTGTAGGACATGTCAGATCCTGAATTTGAAATTTCCACTGAAGTCACGGGTAAGAGGCAAGTGGAACCAAGATCGAGGCCATTTGCTTTTTAAAGTTTGCAAAGACTGCTAAATTGTGCCAGTGGTAGTTCACTCTTTGCAACATAGTAGCTGTTCTAAACAGATTTTCAGGTTTATTTTTAGTATGTTATTTGCAATTGGTGTTTGTTCTGGGAAAGATATTGCAGACTGAGCAATAATGCATTTCTTGCATTTCTCATGGGTTCTAATGGGGCCTTTCTTAAAATGACTGGTCCCAGTAACAAAGGCGCTTGTCGACTCAGAAATCGAGAGAAAACCAACAACACACCCGGCAGAACATTATGTTATTTACACGGGTGCACATAAGTGGTCCGCATTAGGGCTGGGACAACGCGTCGACGTAATCGATTACGTCGACGCAAAAAATACATCGACGTAAAAAAATCTGCGTCGATGCGTCGTCACTTTCAAAAAAAGACATGGCGGCAGCGAGTAGCGGAATCATGAGTGAGGCAGTTGCAGTCAACTTAAATCACTCCACCCGAACACGCAGTTCTACAGTATGGGGATATTTTAACAGAAAAGGAAGTGATTCAGTCGTTTGCCGGCTTTGTGAGGTGGAAATGGCCTATCATAAAAGCACGACGGCTATGCACCAGCACCTAAAACAACTGCATCCAGGAGCCGCTTCTGCAAAGGACAAACCACCGTAAGTTTTCAACTTTTTTACTAACGCTAGTTTTTACCCGTTAATTCATCCAGACCCCCCCCCCACGTAGACGTACACTCACTCATAGACACAGAGATAAACACAGAGATAATCACACACAGCACACATCTGTGTGCTGTGTGTGGTTTATGATTTCAGGAATAAACAGAGAAGTCTGGAGGACTACTGTCAGAGAAGAAGTACACCATGCACCCCCCAGGAGGTGGCTGTACTTACTGAGAGCGTCTTATCTATGATTTTAAAAGACAAGAGACCACTTGCTGTGGGTGAGGGATTCAAAGAAATGCTGACCACTTTCCAACCAGGTTACACTCTGCCGTCTAAGCGTCATTTTACAAGCATGATGGAGAGAAAGTATGAAACTTCAGTGGAGAAACTAAGGAATGAACTAAAAAAGCCACATCCAAAATCTCCCTTACCACTGATGCTTGGACAAGTCTGGTCACAGAGTCCTACTTAGGGGTAACTTGTCATTTCATTATTTGTTCAAAGACGCCATTTCTGCTGTTTGTATATTATTAATTTTTTGCTATGATTTCCTTTGTTATATTTGTTTTGCAAAACATTTAATTTTTTGTTAAAAACAGAAGATTGTAGTACAATGTTATTGTGGATTTTGTTTTGTGAATGAAGAGCACTTTTTGGCAGAAAGCAAAGTGAATGTTACATTTTGTTTGTTTAAAGACACCATTGTTGCTATTTATTTGAAATGTTTTGTTAACTTTTCCTTAATTTTATATATGTTTGCACATTTCATTTCTTGTTAAATGCTATCTCTATTGTATTGATTGTACGACCTCTACAACTTTATTTTGCAATTTTTTTTTATTAAAAGGTCTTCAAATGAATAAATTTGTGTTTTTCATTTATATACATAAATTAGTAAATGTGAAATTGCTATACAAGTCAAATAATGGGGAAAAAAAATCGTTAATCGAATCGAATCGAAATCGAATCAGATTGAAAAATGAATCGTTAGATTAATCGATTAGGAAAATAATCGTTTTGCCCAGCCCTACCTCTCACATGTTTAAGCTTGCTGCGGGAGATTTCACTTGTCATGTTTGCATAGTAAGCTAACGATTAATAAGACGACGTCAGAGGGATTGGTGCACAAATTATCATCACTCACAGATCAGTGCTGTCGCTCTCTATACACAGTTCGCGCGATTGCAAAGTGAAAGCAAAAAACAAGCGCAAATTCAAACACGATTTCAATATGTCACATATTGACAGTGGCTCACCGATGTCAATGACATAATTACCCAGCTACATTTCTGAAAGAATGCAAAAGCATTGACATATATTTTTCCTTCCTATGATAGCCCGATGGGCAGGGCAGGGCCCGACTGGAAAAATCGCTAGCCCCGGGACGTCGGGCTAGAGATTTTGCGAGCCCTGTTATTTCATTACAGACTAATATTAAATATATATTCAAATTCATGAATCTGCAAAGGATGCAACAAACAACAGCTAACCCATCTAAGTAATTTAACTACAGTAGAACAACAAAGTTATGGAAAAGTTCAAAATTAACTTCAGATAATGTGTGGTATTTATTAAACTAAGATGGATCGAAGACAATCACCAGGACACTGTACAGGAAGAGACTGAGAATGCAGAGCAAGAAAAACTACACTTCTGTAGAAGAAACACTTTCAAGCCAGACTAAAGTATGCTAAGGATAACTTGGGAGAAAGATTCTACACACTGGTAGCACTTCCTTTCTCACATGAGATGAAACTAGAGCTCTTTGGACATGGAGACAGTGCTCATGTTTAAGAAGGGAGAGGCATACAACCCAAAGGCAGTTGGTAGAGATGTGGAATGAGTACCAAAAGGATCAAAGCAAAAATGCTGCACAAGATGATTCTGAATTAGCACTCTGCAGGCACCAACCGCTTTGAGTGGTAGAGACTGACGCTACAACCACACTAGCCTGGATAAATGTGAAAACGGCGTTTTCGCCTCCGCGTCCACACTAGCATTTTCAGTCGTTTTCACGGAGTTGAAACGGCTGAAAACGCTTACGTTCCAGTCCTGCGCATGCGTGAAACGCAAGAAGATTCGACCTGCCTCATTTCCGTCTGCCGTTTATTTACTTGTTGAAATGTGGCAGCAAAATGTTGAGGAAAAGCAGCGAGCTTTTTAAATGGACTAACAATGAGGTGGAGTTGTTGCTGCGAGTAACACAAAAGTACAAAGTTGCAAAAGCGAGTGAGAATTAAAGAATTTGAAGAAAAGCTCTCTGGAGCATGTACAGACTGATATTATGAACAAGCGTACAACAACAAAAGTCAGTCACATTTATTTATATAGCACATTGCTGCTGACTCAAGTGCTGCAGCAAGCAGTCAGAACAAGCAGTAAAGCAGTACAAGAACAAGTAGTCAGAACTCATTCTGCTTTAAAAGCCAAGGAATAAATGTGGGTTTTCAAACATGTTTTGAAAGTGCCTAATGTTGGGGAGGTCCTGATGTGAAGAGGCAGTTTGTTTCACAGTTTAGGAGCAGTCACAGCAAAGGCCGACCTCCTCTGTGCTTTGGTAGTCTGCAGATGATACTGAAAGATCTACCAGTTCAAAAGATCAGAAAGGTATGAGGGTGCTAACCAATGTAGCTGCAGTCAGCTAACAGACGACAAAAGTCGAGATACAATGAAAGCATGGATCGCTCTCCAAGTCTCTGAAACAGAGGAATGCTTTCCATCTACTTGCAAAAGTAAAGCCAAAGACAGTAGATTTGATTACAGCCTGAAAGATTTTAAAAAAGTAGCACAGCCAGTGGCCGTAGTTACAATTTTCAATGTTTAACACTATGTCTGTGAAGGTTCTCAGTCATCCAGGTCATTGTAGTCAAACACTGTTTCTCTTAGGCCTTCTATACGTTATAACTTCCCTCTCCTCCGCAGCTGGAGCAAGAGCCGTCCACTGACCAGCACAGACTTCCTACACTGCCTCCATCTGACAGCAGAGGAACAATACAGCGAACGCGCCCCCGCAGCTCTGCCATCAAAACACCAGTAAAACAACAGGGGCGGCAGGCAACGGAGCTAACTAGCAGTAGTTATCTAGCCCAGTTCAGCATAGGTGTTCTTTATTAAGGTGAAGAGTGCAAGAACTGAGGGATGATGCCACGAGCGGGAGCCACATACGTCATCGTAGCTGTGGGGTTTCAGCCAGGGCACCCGGAAGCGTGATCCCATATAGAGTGGGTCGACTGAAGGGGAACCATGAGTACGTTGGGGAACCATTTGAGTTAAACTGGTTACCAGGAACGCAGCTCTTGACTTTCGCATTTCAGATTAAGAATATGTCACATGCTCAAGAACAAAGACTTTGGCTCAACCTACCTACGCTAACGGGGCTGTGTGATTCGTTAACGTCCCGTTTTGGGTTGTATGGAAGCCCCAAACGCAATTTCATTGTTCTTGACAATGACAATAAATAAATAAATACTAAAAATACTATATTTTTAACTTCTTCTTCTTTTTAAAGAAAACGCGCCAGTCACATGCAAACAGAGGCGTGTTATGTCTTTTGAACGGTAATTAAAAGGTTATAAAAAACAAACACGTCGAGGTGCTCATGTCACTCATCCTTACCGCGTTTTTCACAATGCAATTCCTATCGTCTTTGAAGCGTGCACACAAAACAATGCAACGGCTGAAAGATCAAATTCAATGATGATGCTTGCTACCAGCAAACTTACGTACCACAGTAAATACGTTTTTATATCTTGGTCCCGCTGAACTTTCTTCTTCCGTTTCTTTTCGTTTTCTTCGGACGTTAATGGCGAGTGGAGAACCGACTGGCATGCGCATTAGCGCCACCTACGGGAAGGGCGTGTGGATGGAGTACAGCGTGCGGTGGGGAATATAACTAATTCTCGTCTCTCTTCCACATGCTTTGTGCAATTGGTCCATACATGTTTAACGCTTTCTGGTGTATTACGTTAAAGACAGAGACCTGTTGGGTGTTTTGCTTTTTTATGGAGTACATGGTTTAATCCTATATGTTCTCTTTTCAAGGGAGTAATAAGCATCGTGTTCTTTGAGTTCCTGCCTTATTATATTCAACTCCTTTTGGATATTGTTAGTTATATACACCAGTAATTTTCCATATATGATTCTAAATGATATTTTATCCTCAGCTCTGCTTGTTAACTTCCTATTATTTTAATGAAATGTGCATTTGCATCTCTACCTTTCCGTTCCCTTTAACAGTACATGAGCAATAATTTGGGTAAATTACATTTCTGAAACCCTGCTGTGGAATTCCAAAAGCATGTGAAAGATGTGATAATAATAATATTCAGTCTACATGATAATTTTCCAGACTGATTGAAATGTGCTGAAAAGCTATATGTATGATGGAACTTTGATTTTGGTTACTTTCTTTGACCTACTGCAGTGCAAACATTATTCCCATTACTTTTATGCTGTATCCTGAAAAAAGATCTGTTCTATTCTTCACTGCTACATATTGAGGGATATAAAAAACAGTACTTGCAGTACTCATCAGTAAATATATATTTTCTTTGAATTGCTGTTGATCTTTATACTCTTGTATTAAACCCCGATTCTTTTGTCCCCATGACAGAAGAAACACAACATAATTCCTAATTTATCCCATTAAGTTTACTTCAATTCAATCCAATTCAATTTTATTTATATAGCGCCAAATCACAACAAAAGTCGCCTCAAGGCGCTTCATAGATACAGAGAAAAACCCAACAATCATATGACCCCCTATGAGCAGCACTTTGGTGACAGTGGGAAGGAAAAACTCCCTTTTAACAGGAAGAAACCTCCGGCAGAACCAGGCTCAGGGAGGGGCGGGGCCATCTGCTGTGATTGGTTGGGGTGAGATAACAGAGACTTTGAAGAGAGAGACCTAATATTTAATAATCCACATTTCACTGTTTTACTCTTTGGTTCAGATGTGGATTCTGTATTGTTCTTTCGTTGTGATTGTTTATGTTTACGTTGTTTACTGCTGGCTTTTAGTTTGTTTTTGTCTGTTTGGGAGCTGACACAGTCTCTATGGAGATGGGTTTTATTTGGGGTAGCATTAGGAGAGAAGCTGCAGAGAGGCGTGTTCCATGTTAAAAGCTAAAATATAACAAAAAAATCATGCTAAACAAAACAAAACCTTTCAATTGCCCAACCCTATCTGTCCCCTCAACGGGTTGTATGTTTTCAATGTTTCCTTATTATTTTTGTCATAAAAATAAATCAAACAAATAAATCAAGTTGCGAGACAGCACCTTGCATTTACGCCAGGCTGTGAGCTGCCCTAAATCTACGTCCTTCACCCCCTTTTCAACTAGAATCCCAGTTTAAAACTATTCCTGACTTCCCTCAGTGTACACTGTAAACTCCAAAAGATACAATTAACTTTTCCTGGTAAAAGGTCCTACTTTACTCTTGTCACTGGTTTGGAAACAACCTCTATAAAGTTAACCCGTTTCATCTTTAAAACTTAGTCCTGGTTTCTTCGTCCCCTTTAACGCATATCCTGAACTTGACACTTATTAACCCATAAAATGACCAATAACCTATGATCCTGTGTTTTCCTAAACACACATTGGTCTCTTTTCTCTCTTACCACAACATCTCATGTTACTTTTATCTCAGTACTGTCTTTTTCTCACAGTGTCATTATCCTTACTTCAAAGCTTCACTTTATTCTCAAGAATTTAGTTTTACCACTACTGAGCCAATTTAATAGTTAAGATCATCTACTCAGCGAACAGATAATTTAGAATTCAGCCAATTTGCACAAATTTGCTTTTTGAACAGGTTTGTGCCTACCTTTAAATCTCTTTAGACCGGTCTCCTGTTCGCCTAATATCAGATCCAACCTTCGGCCACATTTGTTCTCTCTGTTACACGAAGAACCGGGCGGAAACCCCGATTCTTTTGTCCCCATGATAGAACAGAGAAAACCGACTCATAGTGTGTTAAAACATTTATATTTCTTTTTATTCAATCATCTTCCGGAAGAGAGAGACCCCTGCACAGCTCAAACGCCAGTTGCAAGAGCTCTAACATTTTTAGCTCCACATGTGTCTTATATGGTGTTATTTCTGTACTTCAGACGTCACACAGTTTCAAACATTGCTTATATGGAAAGTTCCTCTTTTCTGTGTCTTAGCTATTAATATGGCTGTGCACTAAAACTTCCTGTTTTTCAGTCTGGCTGAGCACTTAGTTTGTGAGTCAAAAGTGGCCTTGCTTTACAAGCCTTCATTATTAAAGTACATAACACAATCTAATAGGAAAATAAGGATATTGATTTCATGACACTTGTATTATTGCACCTTCTGATATTCTTTTTGATTTTTTTTCAGGAACAAGAGAAAGTGGTTTAATGGTTTAACAAATTTTCAGGGAGGAATAGGTGACAATGACACAATCAGACTTAACCACCTTTGCCAAGGTCACAATGTTTTTGCTAGCGTGTGTGTGCATGTACGTCATTCTGTTTGTAAACACAATAACTAAAGCTTTGAAAAAATTGTGAAACGTTGTTATGTTGTAGAGCAGGGGTGTCAAACTCAAATACACAGTGGGCCAAAATTCAAAACTGGAACAAAGTCGCAGGCTAACGCTAATATTTATTGAAATATATTTATTCCTCCAGAATGAATCTTTTCTTATGGACTCAAACACGTTTTGCTGAAAAACTGAATATGGAACAAGCAAAGCTTAATACTAAACAATATATATATTAGCTGTATAACACCAGTAGGCCAGCTCTAATAATAATTTGGTGTGGCTTTGCGGGCCAAATGTAATTAGGCTGCTGGCCAAATTTGGCCCGCGGGCCAGAGTTTGACACCTATGTTGTAGAGTGAGATCACTGTAATAAATTTATTGGTCTAAATTTGACAGAAAGCCTTAAGTTAGACACTATGATTCTTGCAAGTGTGGTGTGTATTCTCAATATGTAGAAAGTACTTTATAAGTATATTTTAAAATATATCACCATCGTCCTTTTGTTAAGCCATAAAGAGCTGCACACACTCCCTTGTGAAATGGCATTGTCAGCTATATGTGTACTGTCCAACCAAATGAGGAAGTCCAATACCCACAATTTACCATTTACTCATAGTTTAACCTGTTCACTCCAACTTTATCATATTTGATCTATGAGTTTTTGAAACGTCTTTTTTTTCTAACTAAACCTAAATAAATTGCATTTTAAGGAATAAGTTGCAAAAAATGCATGAAATAGCAAACGTGAAACAAATTAAAACTCATATGCATTTATCAAAAAGTTTCCAGATTTTTTAAGACAAGTGCAGGCCCATTTCCAAACTTTGATTCATTTTAAAAGAATGGATTGTTAATGATTTTCGGAATTCATTTGCACTAAGGGTACATGTAAACACTCTCAAAAAGGAGACAAAAGGTGATCTGGAATCTTTTTTTAGTAATATAAAGTAATAATATAAAGAAGTAAAAAATAGCAATAATAATAAACAGAACAAGTATTATTATTAAGGTTTGTTATACACCCACAAGACAAGCTCGGGTAACAGGACAAGATGTGCTGTTCACATAAGAAAAAAAATGTTTCCCAGTCTTTTCAAATTTGTGCCCAGTACCAGATAGGGTCAGTCTGATCTTCTCCAGCTTCAGATGATAGAGCACTTCCTTAACCCAGGCCATATGAGAAGGTGGAACTGAAGAGTACCACCTCAAAAAGATCAGCCTGCTGGCCAACAAAGTTAAGGATGCTATCGAGTCTTTATGTAGATTGAGTGAAGCTCATGATACACAAATTATGCAGTCACAGCATTTAGAACAATATTTCTCCCAGTTACCTTGGACAGGGCATCAAAGACTCCAGACCAGGACACCCTCAAAGATGGAGAGTGCCAGAATATATGAGCATAATTTGCAGAAGAATGACGGAGACATTGGATTATATATTTTAGTGAGCCAGTCCTTAGTATAATGAGTACGGTGTATCATCCTAAACCGAGCAAAATAATGTTTAGCATAAATAGATGACTAAGGAGAACAGGACAATCTTTACATGAACGGTGAACAAAGTTTTGGACCTGGAAGTATCTGAAAAAAATGGCTCCTAAGTAATGCAAATTTTGCGATCAATTGTTGAAAAGATGCAAAAGATGAATCTAAATATAGATCTGCAAAAGTCCCAATGCCCAACCTGGCCCATCCAGTGAATACACTGTCTTGTAGAGATGGGGAAACAGATGGTTCCCTATTAATGGTGCTTCAATAGAGGGCCCCTGCAAACCAAAAATGTGTCTAAATTGGGTCCAGAAAGCGGAGCACTCATGACTCTGTAACCATCATTGACTGTCGGCTTGCTCTCACACGTGTGGTAATAAAGGTATTGACTTCAGCTGGCTGTGTTTGCATACTTTGTCAACAAAATCCATAACAGAAGGCTTTCATGCTACACAGTCTTTCTCTCTTTGGACCAGTTACTGGAAACCACATGTTCATCCCCTCCCTGTCAGGTGGAGGCTTTCAGGTTTTGTGTAAAAATAGTATTCTGTCAATACAGGACATTTATATAAGAAACAGTTTTCCCTCTTTCCATCAGCTGGTAAACAGGTTTTCCATACCCAAATCTATTTTTTTATGCTTACAATTACAAAACTTTGTATCCTTACATACAGATTGCTTCTTGTCAAGAGATTTATTCTAAAGACACTTCTTCA